TATCCAGATAACTATTGAAAATCAAGAAGCATTGGGCAGCTATTTTATTCTAGTACAGTACTCTTTAGAAGTGAACATCCACAACCCGACGAGGAATCGAACCTACGACATTAAGATCTTTCAGCGTGCTGCTAATCTCTAAACTACTAATTTGACGTTGAATGCCCACTATTGAGTCCCATACTAGATTAAAGTAGCTGTCATATGTTTCCTCTTTTTCAATAGTTTTATATTTAGGATCAGTTCGTGAATTAAACTAGAATATTTGACCATCTGTGAAGTACCCTTACAGTAATGAAAAACAATGTGTTAAACAAGCTAAAAGCGTACAAATAGATTGAGGGAATGTCAAGGGCTGAAAGACAAAGACATCAATCTTTTCTGTGAATGGAATATCATGAAATTTAGATTTTCATATTACAGTTTTCAATCTAACTGTAGCCAATGATTGGAGACCTTAAAAGATATTCCTCATAAAGTGATCATTTTTCCGATCCACCCTCTCTTTACCCCTTACTCTTTCCTAAATTATGAGTTCTAATATTATTCCATATTTTTATTTTCTGAATTCATTCTTTCTTTTAAAGCGTCTTATTACCAACGTTCACATGCTTTGCATTTCGTTAATTTTCTCTTCTATTATATTATATTAGATGTGATAACTTAAACTACTGTACATTTGTCCCGTGTCCCATATTATTTATATGGCTGACTGACTGATTGATTGGGACTTTAGAGTTAGCTAAAAACAGTTAATTTGTTAGAAGTTTATACTACATAACCATTTCAAACGCTGATGTTTCTCTTAACTACAATTTTATTGATATGAGAGAATTTTATGCAATAATTTTATCTTGACAAAACCACTAATCAAAATCTCGATTGACATGAATTAATATATTTGCCCCCAAATGCCCTGGTACGGCCGTGGGTAGAGCGAGTCGGCTCTCTCTCGAAATCCTCTCACGTGATCACGCGTGTACAGCCACTGGCAAGGAAGTCCTACTCACCGACTTCCTGCGCCGGGGTATTGTTTACGAAGTTGAGAGGACGAAAAGCGAATTTTCGGCGCTTTGATCAGGTTGGGGGATATAGAGGATCCACCCAGGAGAGTTAGAAAACCGTGATTCCAAACCAGTGGTGCACATGAGCTCCAGGCTACTGAGTGGAAGATTGGCATATGAAGCTATTGTTGATCACTGGTTATCATAGGCCTGCATCTTTTAACGTTGCTCTACTGATTTGTGGATTAGATTTCTAGGCCAAAGGTTCGAGGTGTGGCCCCCCTAAGAAAACCACCCGCTTCGGTTTGGGCACCCGTGCAGTATCCCGGGCCTCACACAAATCGAATAACGAAGTGTGGCGCATAAATATTCTGTGCCTCCTTGTACCCATGTTTACGTTTAATTAATAAATAAACAAAGTTGACCGATCACACGTCCGACCAGCACTAGTAAGCTTGAGTCAAGTGATAAGTTTTCACTGGTTCACGATACTGTAGCTCCTCTCTTTGACCTGCCTTAGAGTCCAGAAGTCAGTAATCAACCCCAATCATACATACAAGCAGTCCAAACTATATCACATCGTGAAGTAAAAACTTCTAATTATACACGTGCAAGCCAAAAACGGCTTTGAACAAATGGAGACTGTGAATAACAAAATGGGAACAGACTAAGAACAGTAAATCATATAACAGTAGTTTATATATCAACCGAAAGCTTATGACAAATATATAGATATATATATATGAAACAATCTAGTAACATAATAATTATACACTAAGAATATGTATATGATAATAGTCCATAAATTAGTCCTGAAAGTCACCATTCATTTAGTCTTCAGTATAATATAACAAGTATAATCTGTTACATAATTTATATTTTCAATTTAATTAACATTATTTGTAACTTGTTTAAATACTAGTTAATGTTCTAACTTTTAACTAAAAAAAAACACTGATACATCACATTAACTTTCTATTAGTTTGTCAGCAACTGTTTAAAACATACACTTTGAAAGACTAAAAATGTTCAATATCATGCTGAGCAATCTGGGTGTGTGTTTTTTTTCTTTTTCAAATGTATACCAACATTTCAATATAAAAAATATTTCATAATATATACTTATTATTTTGTTTTATTAATGAAAAATGAACTAACATTCTTTTATGTTGATTATTGCATACATGTGATTATTTAATTTAGTACTACAGTTACTATGATTAATTTTCTCTATTTTTATTTCTAGTTTTACATTGATTTTTTTTTCTTTAAAGTATATATCCAACAGAGTGTATAATTAATTACATAATTCATATTTGATTATTTAACTACACTGATTTCTTATAAAATGTAGTATGTATATGTATTGGCTTAGTTAACAGTAAAATGCTAAGAGCTCATATATATATATATATATATATATCTGTATAACAACTTCCTGTATGTTTTTTGATGTAGCTACAGCATAAATTTCAAAAACTAAACTGTTATTCATAAAACTTTTACATCCTGTTAATGGTTTTTTCTTTGTTTGAAAATAATTAGTAATATGTAAGTGGACTGTGACTAATTATTCGATTCTGAACATGTTTGTCATTTCATTTACGAAATGACAGTTGAATATGTCTACATATTTTGTAACAAGTGATTATACTGACAAAATTTAATTATGAGTGTCAAGAGATTTGTGTAGATCGTAAAATTTTCATAGCTTTGATCGCGAACTAATATTAGCCGGACTGTCGTCAAAAATCTTAAAGTAGTGATCGGGTGTTTTTCCCTGGTGTATGATTTCTCTATAGTGCGCATCAACGAGTTTGTATTAGTATGCCAGACTCAGGAAATGTGATCACGCTTGCGAATGCTTAACTTCTGGGCTACTGAGCAGGTACCTAGTAATGTACATCTTTAACTTCAAGTAATTCACGATGTCGCTCAACCTCACAATAGTTCAATGACTTAATTAAAAGCTTTCTGATCTGTTAAAACAGTTGACGACAGATTACAGTCTCGGTGAGGATAACACAATTTCACGATGACTGTAAATAGAGAACATAACCTGAGTTTTATTGTTGTATTTTACTTTTCAAGAATAATACATTACATACCATTGTATTTTTTTGAATTAAAATCTTAGAGAAATTGTTTTTCATTTACCTTGAGTCTTAGCCATGTCGATAGATGCAAACTACCTGGTTAAGGTCAGGGCAATAACCAGCGTTAATAGTTATAGCAGTTGAATGGTAACATTGGTTAGGATCGGTCACAGTGGAACATATGTATTCACTCTGTATTTTACTTTAGATGTTGATTTCCAATACTCTTTCATATATACCATTTCATTTCTTGTTGTTAAACCATATTTTCAACTTTTGATCTTTCTCGTTATCATTATTGTTATATTATTCCGATTCCTTTGCTATTCACCCGATTAATATTATATCGTCTTGCTTTAATGAGTAGTATAGCAACTTAAGCCAATGCATATTTGTGCCAGATTCTACAGTGATTACAATCGACTGACTAACTAAATTAGTTCATATTTTTCTACTTATTCAATATTATAAGTTATTCGGGAAAAAAATTAATAATAGTATTAGTAGTAGACTATCATTTTGCTTCTTTTTCTCAAAATAATACAGAATTGATTGCTTCCCATTTGGACTGATTTTAAGACATAAAGATATTAGAAATAGAAATATGATAGATTAATATGTTTTCGAATTGTTTTTCTTCACAATCTGTCTTCTCTTTTACTTCTTAACTTGTTTTTTTTCTATCATTACCCTTTTTCCCGTAAAAGTTAGTAAAAAAAAGACAAATATTATCACGATATGATTTATCATACTTATAAGTGTTCCTAGAATATATATATATATATATATATATATATATATATATATATATATATATATATATATATATATATATATATATATATATATATGCATATATTACACAAGATTCCATACTGTCAATAATTCTTATTGAGATGAACGAGTGAAAATAGTTTCGGCAAAGAGGCTAGTTTAAGATAACTGATCACCGATTCGCTTTCCTTTAATCATTGTTGAAATATGTCAATGACACCATAGATCTACAATATGCATAAAATGTATTTACAATAGTGTGTTAACCTGGTATTATTCATTTGTTATTTATCATACTTCAATACTTTGTCGAAAACTTACAGCTTAGGCTTTTAACAGAGCATAACAATTACACATTTATTAAAAGTTGTAAATTAAAGGCAATCAGTTGAAAATTATCAGTCTAAATGTGGCTTTAATTAGCACTTATCAATAAGGATGGTAGATATAATCTTAAGGGAACTGACGCTTAACATTCATAAATGTGGACAGCAACCATTATCATCGTGTCAATCCCTTATATATGATATAAATCCAAAAGGCAAGTTACTAATGAACTAATTGACCACGTTACTAAGCATTGTTATACGATTAGTACGATGAGATCTGAAACCTAATTTCAAGTTTGTGAAATAGCTACAATTAGACGTATACTAAAGACTAGACAATATGATGTTGATTACCCTTTAATAACTGATTAATGCATATAACTTTATTTTAGAAGTGATTCAAGTTCTTTTCTATATTTGGTAACATGCATGTGCACTTAACTTAAAGAGTAATTGCTGTGGGGTTATATATCTCACTGATATAATGAAGTACACTGTTGAACTGATTTGACTGATAAAAACACCATAATTTACAGTAAAATTAGACTTTGGAGTGTTTGGGATACTTGGTTTCACGTTTCTGACCTGTTGTCAACTTTACATCTATTGCACTATGGTCATTCTTTCAATCTGAGATTTAGTTTAAAATATAACCTGATTAGTAGTAGGGCTTTACTAATCATTCTGCTTGTCTCGAATCTTCATAATCTTCAACTCTGAAGATCATTATTTATAACTAATAATCTTAACTAAAAATTTACTTTAAAATATTTATTTCGTACTTATTTTGAATATAGGATTCTTCTGAAATCTTTAAACATTTCTGGTTTGGAAGTTGATGAAGCTTTGCGATTGGTTGTTCATCGATATGGGATGCCTGTAAGTTGATTATTAGCAGAAATTTAAATTCAGCTCTTAATTTTTTTTAAATATTTCATTAAATACAAATTACATGTATTTTATGAGAAAAATTGTTCTAAAATAACCCTCCCAGACGATATTATTACTCTCAATCGACTAAAGAAAAAAGTATTCTTCAAATAATGTTTGAAGGAGATACCAGAATTCTTCAGTTTGGCTAACAGTCATTTCTTTGTTCTGTGTAATTTTAACTAAGGGACGGATGTAAAAATTTAAAAACCTTATGACTAATAGGATTTAATAAATATAAACTTTTTCACTGTTTCATAAAATTTCATACCAAATATTCTCGTTTTATGTCTTAAATTCATTATACTTATTTCAAGACTATAAAGAAATCTGTAAAAGTAGACGGTGATTTGATTAGCTTTTTTGTCGACATCTAAACTTTAATTCAACTCAATTATAAAACATGACCATCATTTATTTAATTTTTCAACCAAGTTTATTTCACTTGATATTGTTTTTACTTGAATCTTCCCATTGATGTTTTAGGACTGAAATTGATCAGTCTCTTATTGGCATATGTACATACTGTGCTTATAACCTCGATATTTTCTCAATTCACAACCATTATAAGCAGAGATGGATAGTGGCTAGCAAGTAAACAAGTAGCTATTAGGACTCGGTAGCTAAGTGGATAACGCGATGGCGTTTGAAGCGAACGGTACTGGGTTTGAGTCCCAGAGTGAACATCACCTCTGAGATGCAGGTACATCCAGCTGACGAGTCCCAAACAGGACGAAACGCGCGTCCTGGATTCCACTGCTAGCCACTATCCATATTTGCTTACAAGTTTATTTCATTTAAATTAGATGAGACCTGAAGTCTTACTAAAACGTGAAAATTTGCTTCAAGCTTAAACATTCCTTTCAAAGTGTCTAGACTGTAAGTTATGATGAACTATTGATTGTGAAATCCTGCAGAAGATTTGCTACTCAGTTTGTAGAAGTCAACGTAATGTAGGCAGTGATGATGTCCTGAAAGACAATGATAGTTTGACAATTAAATCATCTAACTCGAAGAATTCAACAACACAAATTAATGATTGTATTTTCTTATGTGTAATAGTAATTTATCATCTTGAATGGGTGATAACCTTCAATTTCTCTTAGTATCTGAGATTATTTTTGTAATATCTTTAAGTCTCCATCGTTTTGATATTCCTTTAACTGACAGAGAACAGTTACTTGATATTTCCAGTTCTGCTAGATTAAGATGATAATATAAAGAACTAACAGTATAGGGTTGTGGAGTTTATTAAGTTTTTGATTAAGATCATGAACCGAATGATGTTAGACCACCATTGGAAATCTGAAATCACTGGACGGCCGTTCCATCCTATTGTGGGACTCCTCAACAATGAGCATCCACTATCCCTCTCGCGGGATTTAGTTTCATTTATTCATTGGCGAGGAAATTAACAACAAAAATCCTTTTTTTATACGTTTAATTGTAGAGCCCTAAATCACCAATCAAATCAGTCATTGGTTTATATCTCACCAACTTATTCAACGTCCATCTATTTATTTCTCTCGTTCTAAATAATGACATAGATCACCCAATAAGCTTTTCATTTTCAGAATTTCTTCATTAAATAAAAATACTGTATTATATATGTAGAGAAAAAGAGTTAATCTCTTTTTTCTCTTGACCTAATTTCTAATCTATTTCATCTACTTACAAATAATCTTCTAATTCTCTACATTAGTTTTGCTATATACCAAATGAATATTTTTTTTAAAAAGAATAATTCGTTCATCACGTTATTATTTCGAGGAGGAACTATATAGCCTGAAAAAATTTCTCCCAAATACTAATTACTCATCCTACTGTCAATATGTACATAGTTTCTGTTATTATTTAGTTCTTGCTCATTTTACTGTTAACAATCAATCGTTTTTTCCCTGATTTATAACTCAGTATTATGTATGAAAAGATTATGTTGATGATTCATATGCCATCCCAACCCCTTCCTCAACTTTTTAATGAAGATGCAAATTTGTATCTGTGTATGTGTGTGTATAGAAGCAGCTATGTTTCATTAAACTCATGATTGTTTACGTTTGATCCATCAGTTTTTTTTGCTCAATAGTTATCAGATTGTTGATGATTTTATTGTGTGTGAATTGAATTTATTCAAACGGTAAACAAGAAAATGATTATTGTTAACCTTGTAATGGTTTTATCAATATCATTTCCTCTTTGTATAATAAATATGAGGTGATAAATCGTTAGCTAGCCAATCAATAGATTTGATTACAATTACGAACCGATCCAAGTTTGGTCACTACTGGAAACCTGGATGCATTGGACAGCCATTTCTCTTGAGTGTGGGTCTCCTCAGCAGTGAGCACCTACAACCTCTCACACTGGATTCGAGCCCAGGGCCATTGGTCTCGCGTGCGAACGCCTAACCTCTGAACCTCTAATTTGGCATCCAACGGTGTTAAGGTCTAGTCTCAATCAGGAGGTGGTCAAACTTAGATCGGTTCATAATTCAAATGGGTTTGAACAATCTACACAACTCATTGCATTAATAAATTCTGGTTCATTCAGGTAGCAGTAAATAGTGTTGAAATAAAAAATCGAGGATATATTTTATATTTGATTCATTTTGTTTATTGTTTTTCATGTATAACGGATGTGAGTGTGAGCAATAATAGGCCAGCGAAAAATTAGGAAAAAATAAAAAAATTATATTTCTCACTACTTTTTAGACTTTCTTCCTGGCTAACGTTTTCTTAGCGAGTTTTTCCATGAGATGCAGTTACTAACTCCATGCCCAACTCTCATCCTTTATCGGGAGTTGAGAACGATACTCACTCTAGAACTTACTTACTCCTATTACCCCTCATAGAGTAGCGTAGGCCATCCACCAGAATTCTCAATCCAACTCTGTCCTGGACAATGTTTTCCAGTTGATATTTACCTTTTACATGTCTGCTTCTAATTCTCGGTGCAATGTGTTCTTTGGCCTCCCTCTTTTCCGTCCCCCTTCAGGATTCCAAGTTAGCGCTTACTTCGTGATACAGTTTAATGACATCTTCAATATGTGTCCTACACACTCCTAAAGTCTTTTCTTAATTTCCTCCTCAGCTGGAATTTGGTTTTTTCTCTCCCACAGTAGGCTGTTGCTGATAGTATCCGGCCAGCGGAAATTCAGTATCTTCTGTAGACAATTGTTTTTAAATATTTATACCTTTTTGATGATGGCGGTAGTCCGCGAAGTTTCAGCTCCATACAGCGGAACTGTCTTGACGTTCATATTGAAGATTTTGACATTAAAATCGGTTGACAGTTGTTTTGAGTTCCAAATGTTTTTCAACTGTAGGAATTTTGCTATTGCTTTGCCAATCCTCGCCTTTAAGTCTGCATCAGATCCTCCAAGTTCATCGATGATGCTGCTCAAGTACGTGAAAGATTCCATATCTCCCAGAGTTTCTCCGTCAAATGTGATTGGGTTGGTATTATCTCTGTTGCATTTGAGGATTTTGCTTTTCCGTTATGTATGTCGAGGCCTATTGATGCAGAGGCTCCTGCTACATTAGTTGTCTTCATCCGCATTTGTTTGTCTGTATGGGATAGAAAGGTCAGGTCATCTGCGAAGTTCAAATCTAAATGATTCTGAGCTCCTCATTTTATTCCGTGCTTCCCATCAGATGTCGAGGTCCTCATACTCCAGTCTATCACCAGAAGAAAGAGGGATGGGGATAGTGGGCAGCCTTGTTTGACTCCAGCCTTTATCTGGAATGAGTCTGTCAGCTGTCCTCCATGCACCACTTTGCACTGTAGTTTGTCATATGAGTTCCAGATAATGTTGACAATCTTCTCAGGAACTTCATAGCGTCAAAGAAGTTTCCATAATGTTCTCCTATCTACATAGTCAAACACCTTCTTGTAGTCAATTAAGTTGGTGTATAGTGACGAGTTCCATTCAGCTAATTCTTCGGCGATGATCCGTAGTGTGACAATTTAGTCTTGCATGACTAATCCTTGTGGAATCTAGCGTGTTGACCTCGAAGTTGGACATCTACTACGTCATTCATCCGGCTCAGCTGCAAATTATGTGCTATCGACTAAAGTCATGTAAATATTGTAGGAGAGGGGGCCTCAATCATACCACAGAAGAAGAAATGTTGGGTTCAATAACTTGTATTCAACGATAAACGTTTCTGTTATTCTTAAGTTTTTTTTTCTAGTTCTTAAACTCATAAAACGTGTATTTATTATTTACTGAATTCATTCCTGTATAATTCGATATTTTCCTATGAGTCTGTTAGTGATGCACCGAGACGACACATAGGTGACATCTAGTATAAACAATAAGCTTACATAACGTCGAAGAGCATGTAAGTTAGTTATTCTAATCCGTCAATGACCATATCATTTTAAAGTGAACGTATTTTGACTGTTATTATGAAATAAAAATCTTCGAATGGCCCATGATCAGTTAAATGACACTAAACACCGATCGGAAATATACTTAAGGATTATTCAGCCTAATGATAAAATTAAAGTAGAAATATTCGGAAGCAAAACCAAATCATACGTTAGTGCTTATGAGCAATTCTGTTTAGAATTTACTGATATACTAAGAAAGTATATGATTTTTATTGTTATATTATTCATAAACTAATAATTACAACCAACTTCACCTGGAGCCCTTCCAGGATTACTGCCGGCCCCATGCCTGGATAAAGAATAATGGTTAGACATGGGATTAGCATAAAGCTTTTCTAAAAAAACGATAACCAGAAAAGTTACAACCAAATAATATATATATTCAAACGTCACTAGTATTTACTGGGAAGATACAAGCCAAACAATACCAAGTGAATAATAGTTACTGAATATATTTACTCTCATCCATATCACCATTTCTTTTAATCTATTTTTTTCTAATCTTCTTTTATTTTGGTTCTTCTTTTGATCATTTATAATTTCCAGAGTATCATGGTTTGTTTAATTATTCACAAAAACTACAATTAATTATTAAATAATTAAAACAGTATGAAATTTATTGGAAAAAAAGTTTTACTGAACTCTATTTATCTCATCTATAGGGTGCTTTTTTTTATAGGTTTATTTCTTTTATTTATAAATTAGAAATATGAAACTACAATGTATTTAATTGTGTCAGGTGTTTGAAGAGAATTATCGGCACTTGTCAATATGCTCTACCTGGAATCTTTTAATAACACATGCTCTCAGTAAGATCCAAACCCTTGTGATACTACATAGCATCTAAACATTGTAATCACATAACTTCATTGACAGGATTTGGTTATCACTAAAGGATTAGATATGCTTGATATTGATCCTTTACACAATAATAAACCAATTGTAAAGTTAATTATCTAACTGTAACTGACTCTCAAGAATTTCCTGTATTGAAAGTCGTTACGTTATGATTGTGTTGACCAATTATGTATACAGTTACTGTCAAGCAAAAACGTTTGCTTTCATTCTTCATATTAAAAAGGATCTTAATCGTATATTTTAATAAATATAAAACTTTTAAAATACTGCAATCCCCACAAACCCCCGTACTGATAACAATTATGTGTTCACTAATGACTAGCTTCAAGATGTAACTGCTGGAGTTCAAGCGAAAAGCCGTGACCAGTGGAGTACTATCTGTTTCATCTGTGAGACAGTTACCCACCTCAGACAATGGATGATCGGTTGCGCAAGATCATGAACTGATTAAAGTTAGGCATTAACTTTGTTGGATACCGTATCAGTGATCTAAAGGCTAAGCTTTCACGCGTGAGACTGAGAGTCCTTGGTTCAAGTCTCTCTCCCGAGACCGTGGATGCGCACTGCTGAGGAGTCACATACTGAGATCAAACTGACGTCCAGTGCATCCAGACTTTCAATGGTGGTCTAGCTTATATCAACTCGTGGGTTTAATTGTGAAAATATATAACTGTTGATCATGACTATTTTCCACACGTCACTTGTATTGTTTTTAAAGAAACTGAAGTATTAGCTGGTTGGAAATGTATTTAATGTTTGAATTCACCATACTTTGTTAGTCAAAAACCTGTAGTTTTCATAATTTTCTTATCAACTTCAAGTACTTATTGGCTTGTGACCTCTCTCTTTCCCCATATATATATTACACTTCATGATTAGTCAAGTACATTTCCAGTTTATTAGCCGATATATTATCTAGATTTCACACACTTTATTTTTCGTCAGTAGTTATATCCCATTGGTTTAATCACTTATCACAATCAAATTTTGGCAACTATTTATCATTTGACGTAAACAGTTAAATATGCAATGTAGCACCATTGTTGGCTTATTACATGAACATTCTGCTCGTTACTTTTTTAACATTTGAATACCCTAATTCGCAATCATTAGAACGTTAACTGTTCAACACATTTTTGTCAAGTATTTAGTTTCAAATTAGTCGTATTTTTTATTATTTAAAGAACATAACAATTCTTACAAATACGATAGAAAATATTTGCAGATCTTGTTATGTAACTTCCTTGTTTGTTTTACTCCTCGCATAACTTAAGTTTTCTCATAGAGAACATCAATAAAATAATGAATCCAAAATAATTAATTGTCTTCTTTTACCAACCTTGTGTAGGTGGAATCTCAAGAAATAGACAGATTATTGCAATGTATCTCTGAATATTATCATACAGTTCGATGGTGTTCAACATCTGTTAATTCATCAGATACTTTTTCCAGTACTAATGACCATCACTTGAAGTCTTTACCAGCTCCTCCTATCACTCTGGATCAGTTATCATTAATATTTTATGCTATTCTTCTACTACAAACCAGCCTTCATAATGTAAATGCAGCAAAATCAAGTTTAGGCAAACAGAATGTCAGTCAATTTATAAAAAATGTATATGGTAAGTAAAATTTATATGTAAATTTATGTATCGTTGCGAAAAGCTGTCAGTTATTATTATCCTCTAACAGTCTTTCATGATTATTATTCAAATGATTTTTATGAACTTAACGTTAATCTTTTTTTCTTCTGATTTATTAGGTGAATAGTTACCTCCCACATTTCTAACCCATAAACTTTTTCCATACTCCTACTCTTTATCTCGGTCATTACACAACCTTATTTTGATAGTATCAAATCTCGGGCCACTTTATGACGCAATCTCTTTCTATTCTCCTTTGAACTCATATATTTACCAAACAAATCTCTATACGAACATACAGCTTAAGTAAATGAGTTCACCGAAAAGAAAGTGTTTTTACGATAGATTCTCTCCTACGAACGTCTGAGTGTACTCAGACATAAATTTTTCGTCCTACGTTAGCACAACAAGATGAAGTTAAACAGATGAATCGTGATAGACGTTATAGTGAAAAGTGTTCAACTTCGAGAATATGTTTTGAGAAAAACGGGCTATTTTAGCTCCATAGTTTCAAAGTCAAGCGCTCTTCGTGAGACTTGAAGGTTCTACGTTTAAATACCAGTATTGTTTTAGACACCTATTTCTAAGAAGTCCTATACCAAAACTACCCATCTGTCGAAAACTTTCTAGTTTTCAACAAATACATGATTGAGTCAATCCGTGGTGTAAAACTAAAAAAGTTAATTGCCTTGAAAACATGTATATAGAAAACATAGTTATATCACTATTTCGTTCCACTGGCTTGTCATCGGCTATTATTTTATATGCATCTGAAACAAATCACCTACAAATTTATTGTAAGAATAATGAGCTTTCTAAAACGTTTTCTAACGTTTATTGTATGAAAAAATTTATAACCATCACTTTTTTTATATGGGAAGTAATTAATTTTAGCAAGAAACATAGAAAAATGTTTTGGCAATTAAGTTTATTGTTCAAGCTTAATGTGTTTTTTAAATTATTTCCATAGATTAAGTTGTATTCAGCTAATGTATTTCTTTGTAGATCAATAACTAATCGGTATTTACTTAATAATGGACAAGCAATTATCATAATAAAATATATTGAGATTTATTTAAAGACATGGCTTCTCTTTTTTATTCTATTATGATTGTAAATGGAAATAATTACCAGGATCATTTATTTATTTATTTAACTAATTTTATTGATTTTTATTCTAAAGGTTTGTTCAAAAGGAAACTTTGAGCCTAGATTTCTTAATAATTACCACTCGTCAAGTAGAGGTATCTGTCATCTGTAAGCTAACTGATGCTTACTGTTTTATTTGAAACCCTGTTACACATTTTTACCGTTTGATACGTTACCATTGAGTTATCTAGATTGTGATCGACCTCATGTATAATCTAACTTGATTACTAAGTAATAAGCGATGTTATTTTTGTCAAGTCTTCGACCTAATGTTTATCATAGCGATAAACTTATTATGAATACTACTTAATTATTTTAACAATGCATGAAAAGAGTCTGTCTAAATTTCCTAAAATGTAAATTTGATAAATATATCACCGGTTAGCACATATAACTCGGTATTGCTGAGAAATGACATTTGTAAGTTAGCTCGACTGAGGTTAGTGACAACATTTTCACAACCCAGTCACCACTTTGTTATGTTCAGGAATTTCATCGATTTTTCGCTCTTTTTGGTGAGTGAAGACTGAAAATTAGAGTATTTTTTATTCAAGATTTCAATTCAAATCCCAACAGTTGATTATGTTTATATTTTTCATCCAGCACGTTAATCAAGTCTACACATTTATTCATAACTCACAGTCACGAATGACTCAAGACGCCTAAAGTGGAATTTTCCGCGAAATGTTCACTCCAGTATACATCAGTCACTGACTAAACAAACTACAAATAGCTAAAACGTTTCAGATAACGTCAGTCGTTGGTTTCATCTGTGTTGATGGTCGGTGCACTCGAGTTGAATGGAAATGATTTGACCTCCTGGTTTATGTCGAAGTCAGACTTCGAGGTTAATACCTAGCCTGAGTTACTCTTTCGTTGTAATAGTTACTGTAACTACTCTGACGATTGAATAAAGCAAACATAACCTTATTAAAGGAATATATTACAGAAGAAAACTAAAGAATCATATAGTAGCGCCATCACCACATTGACTAGTCTATGATATGCGATTGATTAATCTGCATTAGTCATCTGTGACCTTAAAGATATTCTGCAAGCTATTCAAGCTTCGGTGATCTATTAGTCTAACGAAGGAACGATTCAGCTTGATGGATGACTTGTCTAGCGCTCAGTGACAGATCACTGGTCCTACAATAGAATTTATTCTTTTTATACTGCATTTAAGATACAATATATTAACTGTTGTAATTTATTACACTACATTAAACAGATTTTATCTTAGTTAACTGAAGGTAATCATTGAAAATCCCTGTCCCACCTAAGTTTCTTGTAAGTTGGTCCTTTCCAGCATAACGTACCTGTGATCTTCAAGAACGTATCGATCAAACCCCAGATTTCTTTATGTATGAAGTTGTAAAGTTTCACATATCAATATAACTTTTTTCACGTGTACTTAGATTACTTAAAAAACATGCAACATAAACTTTAAATAATTCCACTAACATTCTCTCACGTCGTTAACTTAAAATTTACATCATCTATATGCCTTGATTATCACTCGTTTGTTAACAATTTGTGTTTATTTCTTATTTCTTTATTATCATCTATAGCTTCTGCATGATTTCATTTTCAACATATCAAAAGTACTAACCAATCCTAATTATGTAAAATATGTTATTTCTTCTTATTTCCGTTGTTACCAACTGAATTTCATTAATTACATTATGTAATACTGAGTTTACTATGACATAATTAGTTGTTACTATAAGTCATTCACATCTGATAAAAAAGCCTTAAAATATAATGAATTTATGTTGTTCGACAAATTGTATTCTCGATCTATTTAAATCTTTGATTTTCCTTGTTAACTTCAAAGATCTTGTTTTGTCTCTTTTTTCTGCTTTCTCTAGATCTTTTATTAAATCAACCATCTTCATCATCATCTTCACTATCTTCCTTCACGGCTAAATCAAAGTCAAAGATTTCAAATGTTAATCATAACGATATGCTTGATGAAAGTGGTAATACTAATACTGAATCCATTATGGACAATGAAAATAATATTAATAATAACAAATCTCTTGATATAAAACATGTGTTCTCAAATCGTACATTAACTGAAATATTTCATCGTATTAAAGTTAAACCATTGGAACCAGGTTCAGATCAAACAACAATCGTTCGACATATATCTAAAGCAATAAGAAATTTGCAAGAAGTTAAAATTTTAAACACTGATGACATTGATAATGAATTCTTATTCACGAATAATCCATTTGAATTAGTGGAACCCCATCGTCGATTGGTTTGTTATTGTACGGTGATTCATGTAGGTTATAATTTGTTTTGGCTTTTTATTTATTATACAATTTATGATAAATCAGTGTGTACTATAGTGAAGAATAACACATTTTGTCATCCATACAAACATACAGTACGTAAATCATTACCAGTACACTTCAGAATCATACCAAATCTGTTTACTGGAAGAAACTCATCTTCCATTTCGGTAACAATAACAAGACAGAGTGTGTGCACATGCTATAAAACTCTCTTTGAGCTTGACATTCAACAATAGCGTCATGTATTGCTTCATCAGAGTTGACAGATTAGACAAACTGTAAGTCATGAAAACGTCAGATTATAGGACAGATTAGTAACAGTAAAAGAACTAAGAAAGTTTTAACGATTTTATATCAAGTTTGCTATAGTAAATGCCAGAATTGCTTTTATGAAAAGCTGTATATTTTCAGTTGTTTTTTAAATAAAAAAACAAAGATGTCCCATTTCAAACACAATTTGGTATCTACTTTCAGTGATACAATTTATGAAAAATAAATTATACTTGGCTTAAGCAAATCACGACCAATTATTAAATAATGAACTGTGTATACGATAGTGACAATTTTTTTAGCGAATTAAATCCAATTGTATAGATGGCATAATCAATACATTTAATTGAAAATGATCAATCACTAGGGTATATCAAAAGTTAAACTTGAAACTGAAATTAAAACCAGTAGGTTTCTGAAATTAACGCAAACAGAATTTTCCCTTAAACTTTGAATTAAATTATATCAGAGATCTTGTCAAATCTTATATTGTTGAAAGTTTTGCATATCAATCATAACATAATATTATCTTTATTTGTGCATGTAATATTAGATTGCTTTTCCATGTAATAAACAGTTTATTCAAACCAATTATATTCATTCGTTTATTCTAACTTGATCGAATCCGAAAACTCATTAATTTAATAATGATTTCGTCCATAGATTGTACTGGTTTGACAAATATACATATTCTCTCTTCTTTTTCTTCTTATTTCCACTGTTATTTTTACTAATTTTCCATAAATATAATAAAATGTTTACTTAGCATTTATTCATCTTTCATGCAATTCAGTAAATATATTACGTGGACTTTCATTAAAGAATTAATTCTCATTAAGATTAATTACGTTATCAACTATTTTCTCACATTAATTTTTCTCATTCATTTGTTTTGATCCTATTATTATTCTCATAATTTCAATTAATCTACTACGAATCAATACAGGTATATACATATTTACATACGTTTAAACATTTGCCAAACCATTATAGTGAAAATCTTCATTTATAGGTTAATGAAAAGCTAAATAGTGTGTAGAAATGTTCCCTTTAGTTAGTTATCCATTAAGGTTCTATACGAATATATATTAATATATATGTGATTAACAATGGTGGTTCAACATGGAACGGTTCAATATCTCGACTAAAACTTAACAATCTTCACAACCTATGTACTGAAAAATAAAATAATACTAATCGAATAATGGGGTAACAGAATGAATTATATAATTTCACAGTGTTTACAAAAATACTATCAAATGATTAATTGGATAATTGCAAGAAGAAAAAAAAGATTATCATCATCAAAGTAATAATTTGTAAAGATTGAAAAAAAAGATATAAATTAACCAATGAAAGGAATTAGGAAATGATTAATATGGGGGGATTTGTAAAAATTTCAATTATGAAAATTAGAAAACTGTTTGAATATGTTTTATCTTGAAGGAATATGGTCAATCAGTGTGTGTCCAGCTTGAACACACTGCCATATCTATCGCCAATACTGATAAAGATGTTGTTTAAAATTCTTTTGATTGAAAATATTAGGCTTGGGAATATCTGTTCTGATAGCTTCAGCAGTATGCAAAAGATATTGACTTAAAACATACTTTAAATCTGATGGAATATGGTGAATAATTTCAAAAGCTTTATTCAAGTCAACATGATGTTCGGTATCAGCCGATTGAAAGACATCAGAACTCTTGATCCCTCTTACCTGTTCTTCACGTAACTGAGACGAATGGTGTTCTGCTATATGATGACTTAGCGAACGATACACCTGTCGGGATATTCAGAACAATATCCCAAAAATTATCCTGCTAAGTCTAGTGCTATCCTTGGACTTGAAAAGGTATCATTTTCCTATTGATCAATATTTGTTTCACGCGTTATTTTCCTGTTGGCCAAATATTGTACAAATGTTATTTTCTATTTTATGGTACGTTAAGGTCTGTCTGGTTGATATATAAACCGAGTATGTTTGAAATAAATGATTCATATCGCACAGGCTAAGACTAGTGTTCTGGATTTAACTGGCTGGGCTAGGTGGAAAACAGGGCCAATCAAGACTCTAGACTGCTCATACGGGTTTACGCGTCATTGTTCGATCGATAAGTCACAAGTTATAACAACACCTCAAGTAACTGGCTCCACAAGAGTAGTTGAATTGATAGACATACATAAATGTGGCGAATTCAGTTTATAATCGGAAGTCTGTATTCAGTTTGGCTGCATTAAATGTTTTCTGAATTGCTTTTTATAACCTTTGCGTTATTATTTTCTTGGTAGAGTCATTTAGGAACTGTAAATTCAAGGACAGTAACTTCTTCGAAACAGTTGTTACCTTTGATCTTATTTTTATTTCATTCATAAGTTTATTGATGAACTTGTGTGAATATCCATTCCTGCTAAAAGAGTTATGAATATTACTCTAAAAAAACTAAAGAATCAAAATGATTTCTCATATGATAACGAGAAAGTTGTAAGTATCTTCGGTGTCAAATAATAGAAAACAGGAAAAACTGAAATATCCATAACACTTTTACATGATCTATGACTTTTTGCATACAACTTAAAAGTTCTTGGAATTCAAATTTCAAGAGCTATCTACATGGTTATCCTGTGACGGCCCGTGATCTGACTCCAATTCAGATTGTATGAGTGAATGTTTGCTATCACCTATTCTCGTATATAATCGTCGACTTAAATCACGTTAGTGAATAACGAAATTTAGATAAGTCAATTAACGAGAATGGCCTTTGAATACATATATTTTGTAAGTAAAGTGAATGTAATAGAACAGAGCAAAATGACGAGCAGGGAAGATGGCTGGGAAGCCAACTCCATTTTAGTCAAGAGTTACTCCATATTTATAGGCAGACAGAATAAAGCTACAGACATGTGATTAATGCGATAAGAAGGGCACACACATATACGCTCATATGAAAACAGTCAGGGCTAATAAGCGAATAATTAACAAGGTCAAAATATGGCTCAAGTAAAATGAATTAAATAGGATGTCCACAAGTTAGAATAAGGTAGATGGGCTTGCCATAACTGACACTACAATCCTTCATTATAAATAAAAAGCATTCTCCCATTCTAACTCCAGCTACTTACCTTAATCTTTTTCTTCCTTTCTATAATGAATAATTCAACATGTAAAAATTCATTAATCATTTCAAAACTTTATTTATTGAATGATAAATTGCTTTTTAACCAAACACTATTTTCTGACTGGCTATTTAGTTATTCGTACTTGTCAGTATAATTCACCTCAACCCTGAATATTTATCGGCATTATTAATTCTCAGAGTCTTATCCTACTTCCGAATCAATTGGTAATATTTTGATTGTATCATTTAATTCATCTTTCCTTCTATCGTTTTAAGATATGTAAGCTTCGTTTTTACCTTGTGTTACCATTTTCGGTTAGTTAAGCTTAAATTTTTAGTTCATATTATAGGTCAATAATCACTCAATTATCGTCATCTTCATCATAAGATGAAATACAATAGTGTTATTAGAATTCACATATTATGGGACGTTACTTTTTCTGATAGATTACAAAAAATGTTTACATTTTAATGGTGCACAGTTGTACAGATTTCATCAACTACAAATTATGCTTACATGGAATAACCAACATTGTATTGAATTATCAAATCAACTACAATTAATTGGAATATACCATTTATGAGATCCGTTCAACCTTTTAATCTAATCTATTTTAGAAGTATGCAAACATTGAAATGATTTTTTAGGTCTCAGATTTGTTTTACTGAGTTAATTATGTATTTGGACTGAAAAATATGCTTGCGTGGTTTTGTGAAATGTTCCTAATCCATTGCAATGTTCCAAACAATAAGATGCAGATGAAAATAACAATAAAGCTTGATATTTTCGCTCTTGTCATCTATTTTTAAAAAGAAACGGGAGATGAATACATCTAGATTTATGTCTATTCTGGCTTCCTCTCAAGAGATATGATTTTTAACAATATATCTCACTTGAGTTACTACGACACGGAACTTTATCTATCTTTTCAAGATAACAGCTACAATCACATAGAATATCGTGTAAATTAACAAAAACGATTGATACGAGAAATATAACATTGAATTACATTACTTTTTCAGTGGTATTGTCACTGCTTGGAATGTTTTACTTACACAGATTACATACCTGATTTCCATTAAACCGCTATCGTTTTTCAAGTGTAAAATAGCATTCACATCTGATCGAATTAAATTTTGTGTAATTTTCTAAATGAAATCTAATTTTTTTCTTTTGTGAAAATCTGTTTGATTTGAATAATCGAAATGGATAATTAAATTAATTAATTATGAAAATAATTCTTAAATTTCAACCAAACAATCATCGGAAGATAAAACCACAGACTTAGTGAAGCTAGACAACCGTTGAAGTCTAGAAAGCATTGGATAGTCATTTCGTCCTAATATGTCTCATCAACAAGATGCATACACAATCCCTCCAAGAATTAAACTATAATTTCCATGCCTCGTGGTAAGCGCTTCACCTCAACCTAGTTTTTGATGGTTGTCTAGCCGAAATTAATCCGTATTGTAATCCACAAAATTCAACATTCTCCATAAACCCTCTATTACGGAAAAAATATAATTTATTATATAATAAATATTTCACTATGGATCAATAACTAAAGTAACACAATAATCTATAATCGCTATCACCCACCATTTGTTTTTTTTATTGTTTCTGTTGTTTTTTTTCTTATTTAAAGATTCATCAAAATCAACCTCCTCATAAAGAAACCAGTATTCTACGACATTTGTTTGTTTTTAATGACTTAATTATTATTGCAAAAGATACCTCTTCAAAACGTACTTCTGGTAGAAGATTAGTTTTCGACAAGTCAAGGAAAAATCAATCAAAAATAAATGATAAGAAATTATCACCAGATCAATGTGATGATTTTCTTCGTCCACCATTAGATTTATTATATACAGATTGTGATAAAAAGTTTGAAATAATGAATGCTGAATCGAATACACTTAACTGTATGCAACCAACTGTTGGTTGTGTACCTCATAGAGTAGGAGGTGGAAGAGGAAGAAGAAGCAGGTCAAAAAATGAACTTTATAGTCGAAAGACAGCTAATTCTACTTCACATTCCTATACACGTCTTACTGCTTTATATGTTTTTTCATTATATAGATGTAAAATTCGTCCTTTTAAAACTGATGGTAAGTAAAAAGTTCATACATAAGCGTTAATAGTTCAACTTTATCATTTGAAATTTTCAGTATTACTTGAGTTTTATCCCATAATTCAATAGTGTTATGATGAAACAGTTTGTTATCAATCAAAACTCCGATTATAATGTTTTTTTGAGATCATGGATCGACCAATGTTAGACCGCCATTGAGGACCTGGAAGCACTAGACGGCTGTTTTTCATGGTATGGGACTCCTCAGCAGTATGCACCCACAGTCCCACATGCGGGGTTCAAACTAGAAACCTTCAATCTCGCGCGCAAACCCTTAGCATCTCAGGTTTTCAATGATGGTCTTACACTAATCGATTCGTGATCTCAATAAAAAATCACAGCCCTATACTTATGCTTTCTCCATTTCACATCTACTATTCCGTCTATAAATTAGCGTACTAGACTTGACTAACTATATATTCTGGCCTCCAAAACCAACCTTGAGCCAATACACGCTACATCCCTATTAGTCCGTCTATATACAAGCCTTTCTCTATCACAGCCTCATATTCAAAGAAACGTTAGCAGCAGTTTCCATTGTAACATCTCAATCAATCAGCCAGCCACTATTTCGAAAATCCATTAAGTTGTATACATCAATTAGCAGGCCGTACAGCACAACAAATAGAAAATCATACTTTAAACATAATCCCGCCATAAGTGGCAGAAAACGAAGTAAACAGTGCATAATTACTTAACAATAATTAGGGAATAGTAGGTTCGAAGGAAACTAGCATTAAGCAGAATATAGAAATACAATAAAACAGTTATCTACTATGTAATAAAAATATAAATATCAATCTGAATAATAGTTCCAAGTGTTCTAACTTCATTAAACTTGTCCGTTTAGAACACAGTTTATTGATAAAACTGTGGAATTATTCAGGTAACTAGTAATGTATGTGAGTTGATTTAAAGAAAAGTGGTCAACAGAAAGTATATAGTCTGCAATATGAAAATTTAAGGCATCTCAAGATATTCATTCGCTAATTAACAGTGATATTTTGTCTCAATTTCCTTTTTTTTACACTGAAAAAACCATTGATCGAATGATTGGGATTTCCCATTTTATGAAACATGCTTAAAATGGTGTTTGTAGACAATTTTCCAAGAAATTTGATTATTTCAATGAAGTTTATTGACGTGATCAAAATAAAATACTAAAATTACTGTTAAAAAGTCTAGTTTCCTTATGATTGTTCATTAATTACTAGTGAGCTTCATACCTGTCAGAATAACAATCCTAATTTTGATCAATATACAATTATCATGAATTTCAATCCCTGTTAGTCTACGAGCTTTTTTCATGCTTTCAATGTCAAATCTGGAGACAAAGATAGCAAGTGGATTTAACCTTATATTATTATACTGTATTTGTCCTCCTTATTCAAAAATCCAGTTTTATATATATCCATTATATAACCACAAATAAGTAATCACAACTTGTATAGAACTCAGTTATATTTGATTTCAAATAAATTAAGCATCGAGTAAATAGTTAATAATGAATATATTTTTTTATATCTCAATGAGTAGAAACGTTGTATTTCTGACTTCGTGACTTAATGTAAGTCACTTCTTCAGAGTAAATAAATAACTGACATTAAATTAACACAAATTTAATTAGTACCTCGAAATGTCAGAAATACAATCTTTCTACATATTGAGATATAACAAAAATATATTTATTATGAGTTATATTTGATATAAAATCTGTACACTAAGTCTATATTTAATTAACGGTAATTTAGATAAAGTAAAGCGTACGACAACAATTAATAAATGAAATGAGATCTGACAATAAAACTATTATAAAATTACCATAAACTAAGTATCAAAAATTATGAACAACAATTCTCTGCAAAATTATTCTGAAAGTTTCATCTCTACCAATTATATACCCCAGCCAAACAATTTGTTTCCTTCACCAATGTACAAAATACAAACACATTAGTTCATATATATATAATGTTTAAAAATTTACAAATGATTTATAGTCTAACCTTGAGATTTTTTATCTCTATATCCACTAAACTAATCTAAAAATAAGTTTAATTCATTTTTCTATTGGTTGTTTGAATCTTCCCATTGATGTTTAGGATTTCAATTAATCAGTCTCCTATTGGCATATTTCCATCCTGTGTGGATTGCCTTGATATTGCCTTCAGTCATAATCATTATAAGCAGAGATGGTTGGTGGATAGTAGTAGAATCCAAGACGCCCGTTTTGTCCTATTTAGGACTGATCAACTAGATGTACCTGCATCTCAGAGATGATGTTCACTCCAGGACTCGAGCCAAGTACCGTTTGTGGCCAATCGCAGTCTTAAACATCAATGGGAAGATTCAATTAAACAATGCAAAAATGAATTTAACTCCACCCCATTGCACAAGCTAGTGGTTATCTAGACTCAGTATCTAAGTAGATAACGCGATGATGTTTGAAGCAAACGGTACCAGGTCTGAGTCTCGGGGTGAACATCAACTCTCGGATGCAGGTACAACTGGCTGACGAGCTCCAAATAGGATGAAACGAGCGTCCTCGATCTTACTGCTATCCACTATATGTCTCTTCTTATAAAGATAAGTTCTCTATCAAATGCTACTTATTCAACAATTTAAGATCATTAGTAGAAATTATTGTATTACATAAAACCATGTGTACTATCCTCATTTTTTTCTTACATATCAACATTTTGTCCAATATATATATGTACATATATTTACTCCTAATGACTACAAAATTTACATTTTTCGATATCATAGTTTATCGTTATGGAATAGAATTATGGAAATTTCCCGAGACAAAAACATCACATCATCAATCTATTCCTAGTAATTTTAAAAATGGTAATTTACAACCGGAACAAATGATTATTATTGCTGCACTTGATAAAAATGATTATGAAAATTTATTAAATGATTTATATCAAGCATTATGTGAAACAAATCTTGTTGCATTAGAATTAAAATAATATGCTTTCAGTGAAATTGATTTCTCTTATTTATATTGCTATGTGATTATACTTGTATATTTATTTGTCACTTCTCATTTCTTATGAAAATAAAATAGATAAACTACTTAATTACTTTTACATCGAATTATATATATATATATATACCATGTATGTTTACATTCCTAAAGGGTAGATCTTCCTGATGTCTCTCACTCTCCCATCTCTCCCACACACACACTCTCTCTCTTTATATATATATAAGGTTTGTGTTAGTACATTAAATGCTATCTTAAGGTTTTGAAACGCTATTTTTTTTCTCTCAGATGAATCAAATAAAAACAGCAAACACATTCATTTGATCCATCATAATTTTTACTGTTTCAACACATAATTACTGTTTACTTTTCTTCTAGCAAACTAAATATATTCAGATATATGTTTATATAAACATTTGGTCTTTTTTCCCTATTAGAACTATTGATTGTTTTTTTATTTTGTTCTACTTCATTTTACTGTTCTATTCCCGCACTCCATCCTCCTTCTCTCTCTCACATACATACACTCACATTATCTGTTGTCATTTGTTAGTTTCGCTGTTTTTATTTTTTTCGAAGAAAAACAACCCGTAAACTTTCTTTTTATTCAAGATAAAAATGTCATTGCAGCTATGTTTTTAATAATTGATTATATTCTTTGATTTATTTATATATTGTAGAGTTGATTCTTCATTTATTTTGTTTGTTGTTTTTTTTCTCATTTCTTGTCATTATTGTTCAAATGCCACAATCACCCTACCGATTTTATTTATCTCCGATTTTTCTTTTTTACTGTTTTTATCGTCGGTGAAAAGAAGAAAAAAAAGGTAGTTCTAGATTATTTTAGTTAGAATATATATAAAGTGTATTGTTCAATAAATTCCATTGAATATCCTACTTCAATATTTATGATAAAATGATATTTCCTTATTCATCTATCAAAAAATAAACATGATTATGCGTTTGTTATGATTTATCAATATTATGATGATGAAAAAGATAATGGTTAGATCATCAATTAGAAATACATTTTGTTTTAAACTATCATCAGTTTTTCATCTATACTTAGATTCTGTTAATATTTCTTCTTTTTTTCAAATCCTCTTTTACTATATTAGGTATCATTTTAGTGATAATGATTAATTAAAAGAAAATATGATTATTCAGATTTCAGAATATCTTCTGTGATTGGAATATCTTCCTTTGTATCTGGTTAATTTCTAGTCATCTTGTATACATATTTTGTTTGTCATGTTGATTTATTCATTGAAAGATATTCAACTATTCGGTATTACTGTGGTGATATATATTAATAATAATAATAATTGTTTTATTCAATTTTATATTTTTGGTACAAGATAGAATTCTCAGCATAAAGTATTTCAACAAGTTTCCGTTTCTTATTTCTTGATCGATCCTTCCAACAAATATTGAGTGATCGCCAGTCAGATGTTAACAGTTCAGTAGTCGATATCTGAATAATGTTCATTTTTTTCAATGCATATTGCCAACAATCACGATGTCTCTGATTGGGCTGTTTTGTAACTTGTACAGTAAAAGGTCATGAACTTTTCAAAAACGCGTCTGAATAGGTTATTGAAATATTTGATGGCAGGAACAGGTAGCTCAGATATTTAAGCAGGCCGCTAGAAATTTACACATTTCGTTAAAACAAATGATTTTTTTACTTCAATTTGAAAGAGTCATGAATTTAGTTTGTCATGATTTTCTAATAAAAGCTGAGTTTGTGTTGTTTTTTAATTATCGAATGGGCCGCAACGAAAATCTAGTTCAAATCTCTCAAAAAATTGTTATAAATTATAATTTTTGTTTTCACTAACGGAACCATGAATTCGGAAATAAGATATTTACGTAGGTTACTGATAAGTAATATTAAACATAGCACATTTACTAAAAAATACACGTTGAAATGCGATGTTAGGACAACGACAAAAAATTATCATGACAAATCATACAAATACAAAATAGTAATAGTACCAGTGGTAGTACAACAAAATGAGGCATAAACAATATAATTCGAAAGAAAAATACACTTTTAGGATAAAAAGTACATTTTGAGTTTAAAACTCATTATCTAAAAGATATAAAGTGAATACATCTTTGCCACTGTAATCGATTCTCAGACGCATCACTCAATCTCTCCAACTACCAGTTGGGTCATCACAAGGACCTCAACCAAATAGTTTATACTTGCCAATATAGCTCAACTCAACAACAGTCAAAGTCTTGGTCAACTAAAGTCCTTAGGTTAACAGTTGGAATCTTGAGATTAATTGTCCTATAAAGAAACTTCAGATCATTTCAGATAATCCTTTGGACATTCATATTCTTACATAAATCATCCAATAATTCTTTCCTTATAACAATAACTTATGTTTAAATATGAACATTCATCACAATTAAAACTCTCAGTTTGATAGGAATCGGAAACCAAGTATTTAAAAGATGCCATATATAAACATAATGTTCCAAATAACCCTAGCAGTTTGAATAATTTTAACGCTACGTCCACCAAAACTGTTCGCACAATATATCGACTACAGTATCATATTCACAAATTTTCTAAATATTTGAGATAAGAGGATTAAAGATC